GGCCGAGGTAGGGGAGTCGGAAATTCAGGAATCCCAATCAAAGAAGACCTACGCGGACTCTGCCACCTCCAATTGCCTGCTCGACCATCGCCAAGGTGGCCAGAGGACGAAATCGCGGTTCCTGGTGGGGCTGGGTCCTCTCGCGACAGGTGATCCACTCGATAATTCTTTGCTCAGCGAATATATCAATGGATTATCGAAGAATATTATTAAAACAGTAAAAAATAGCGCGAATTATTAAAATTTTTGCAATTGGAGATTTTTTGGTTAGAGGAAAATAAAAATTCAAAGATTTTCTGGCATAAAGTCGACACTGGTTTCCATAGCAGTGGATAAGGAATCGTGTAATAATTAAATATATAGACTCATTTAATTTCAGTGCCTCGTACACTGTTACATTATATTAAATTTGGTATATTAATCAATTTGATATTTTTTGGTTAGAGGAAAATAAAAATTCAAAGATTTTCTGGCATAAAGTCGATGATGGTTTCCACAGCAGTGGATAAGGAATCGTGTAATAATTAAATATATAGACTCATTTAATTTCAGTGCCTCATACACTGTTATATTATCTTAAATTTGGTATATTAATCAATTTGATATTTTTTGGCTAGAGGAAAGTAGAAATTCAAAGATTTTCTGGCATAAAGTCGATGATGGTTTCCACAGCAGTGGATAAGGAATCGTGTAATAATTAAATATATAGACTCATTTAATTTCAGTGCCTCATACACTGTTATATTATCTTAAATTTGGTATATTAATCAATTTGATATTTTTTGGCTAGAGGAAAGTAGAAATTCAAAGATTTTCTGGCATAAAGTCGATGATGGTTTCCACAGCAGTGGATAAGGAATCGTGTAATAATTAAATATATAGACTCATTTAATTTCAGTGCCTCATACACTGTTATATTATCTTAAATTTGGTATATTAATCAATTTGATATTTTTTGGCTAGAGGAAAGTAGAAATTCAAAGATTTTCTGGCATAAAGTCGATGATGGTTTCCACAGCAGTGGATAAGGAATCGTGTAATAATTAAATATATAGACTCATTTAATTTCAGTGCCTCATACACTGTTATATTATCTTAAATTTGGTATATTAATCAATTTGATATTTTTTGGCTAGAGGAAAGTAGAAATTCAAAATTTGTACCTCGTACACTATTATATTATCTTAAATTTGGTATATCAATCAATTGGAGAATTTTGGCTAGAGGAAAGTATAATTTGACAGATTTTCTGCCATAAGCCGACGATGGTTTTCACAACAGTGGATAAGGAATCGTGTAATAATTAAATACATGGAATTATTCGATTTCAGTACCTCGTACACTGTTATATTATATTTAATTTGGTATATCAATCAATTGGAGAATTTTGGCTAGAGGAAAGTATAATTTGACAGATTTTCTGCCATAAGCCGACGATGGTTTTCACAGCAGTGGATAAGGAATCGTGTAATAATTAAATACATGGAATTATTCGATTTCAGTACCTCGTACACTGTTATATTATATTAAATTTGGTATATCAATCAATTGGAGAATTTTGGCTAGAGGAAAGTATAATTTGACAGATTTTCTGCCATAAGCCGACGATGGTTTTCACAGCAGTGGATAAGGAATCGTGTAATAATTAAATACATGGAATTATTCGATTTCAGTACCTCGTACACTGTTATATTATATTAAATTTGGTATATCAATCAATTGGAGAATTTTGGCTAGAGGAAAGTATAATTTGAAAGATTTTCTGCCATAAGCCGACGATGGTTTTCACAGCAGTGGATAAGGAATCGTGTAATAATTAAATACATAGACTCATTTAATTTCAGTGCCTCATACACTGTTATATTATCTTAAATTTGGTATATTAATCAATTTGATATTTTTTGGCTAGAGAAAAGTAGAAATTCAAAGATTTTCTGGCATAAAGTCGATGATGGTTTCCACAGCAGTGGATAAGGAATCGTGTAATAATTAAATACATGGAATTATTCGATTTCAGTACCTCGTACACTGTTATATTATATTAAATTTGGTATATCAATCAATTGGATAATTTTGACTAGAGGAAAGTATAATTTGAAAGATTTTCTGCCATAAAGTCGACGATGGTTTTCACAACAGTGGATAAGAAATCGTGTAATAATTAAATACATAGAATTATTCGATTTTAGTACCTCGTACACTGTTATATTATCTTTAATTTGGTATATCAATCAATTGCAGATTTTTTGGCTAGTGTAAAGTAGAATTTCAAAGATTTCCTGCCATAAAGTCGACGATGGTTTTTACAGAAGTAGATAAGAAATCGTGTAATAATTAAATACATAGAATTATTCGATTTTAGTACCTTATACACTGTGATATTATATTAAATTTGGTATATCAATGAATATTAATTTTCAAAATTGGAATAAATGGGGGATGAAGATCGTCTCTGAAGTGCAAAGAATTATCAATCCCTATTAAAAATTCTCTATTTATTTACGGTGTTCGAATTTTAAAAAAATGATAAAATGAAATAAATTTTATGTCTCATTCTAGTCGTACACTCGTACTCAGGTTTTTTGGCAAAATAGGGAAAAATCGAACCGTTTGATCAAATTAATTTTGTTTAATTCATAATATACTTGAAACACGAAACTTCTAACACACAAAACATAGGCCAGTCTCATAATCACGTATGTCCAAATATGAACCAAATCTATATTAAACTCCGACCTTTTATTTTCTCAATCACCATGAAATATCCTGTCATTTTTGATAAAATTTCAATTTTCACTGAAAAAAATCGTCATTGTCGATAAAAACGAAACGTAATTTTCGTGCACAGTGTATGAATTATAAGAAAAGGTAATTAATAAATATACGTATTACGGTATTTCGCGAGGAAATTTTGCATTGGAGAGCGAAATACTAAAACTCGCAACACCTATGGGGCTACCATTTGACGGGCGAAAAGAGGCGCGATCGACCCAACAAAATGGCCACGCAGCAGCAAGACAAAGCGAACTCAATTTCGAGTTTCCTCTGACCAGTTGGCCACGTAGTTCTACAGAGGGTAGTATGGGGTGGCCGATGGTTAAACGCTAAACACCGGTTTATCCTGACAGAGGCCGCGCGACTATAGATCATTTAACGGGCTGGCGCACCTTAACACTCGACGTCTCGAATCGAAACTTGCGTGTAACTAGTTAACCGGAGTTCCGGTACAACACGTTGCCGGCGAATTTCCGTTGTTAATCGAGAAACTCGCGACCCCGTATCCTAGCCTCTAATTACTGGCCCTTCGTGGACATGGTCTATAATATTGCCGTTCCACCTAACACTTGCACTAGCCATGGCAGAGTCTTTCTGAATCATCCTTCTTTGACGTGACGATTAACCCTCACGTGGTTCACGATTTTCTTTGTCTCTTAAAATTGGAAAATTTTTAGAGAGGAAGGAATATTTATTATGGTGGGTAATTAGTGGACAATTTTTGTTTCTTCTTTTTTCTTAAAATTGAGAATTTTGACAAGATGTAGGTCTGAAATTCGTTGCAATAGAATTCTAATATTTATTTATTCATTTATTTATTTTTTGGTGTATTTATTGTGGATTATTGATTATGACGTACTTGATAATTTCCTCCTTTCTTTGAAATTGAGAATTTTGAGAATAAGTGGGTTTGAAATTGGTTGCAATAGAATTCTGATATTTATTTATTTATTTTTGGGGGTATTTATTGTGAATTATTAACTCAGGCGTAGTTAATAATTTCCTGCTTTCTTTGAAATTGAGAATTTTGGGAATAAGTGGGTCTGAAATTGGTTGCAATAGGATTCTGATATTTATTTATTTATTTTTGGGGGTATTTATTACAGATTATTAACTCTGACGTAGTTAATAATTTTTTCCTTTTTCAAAACTGAGAATTTTTAGTAGAAGTTGGTTTGAAATTCGTTGCAATAAGATTCCGATATTTATTTATTTATTTATTTATTTTTGGATGTATTTATTGTGGATTATTAATTATGACATAGTTGATAATTTCCTCCTTTCTTTGAAATTGAGAATTTTGAATAGAAGTGGGTCTAAAATTGGTTTGCAATAGGATTCTAATATTTATTTATTTATTTTTGGATGTATTTTTTGTGGATTATTAATTATGACGTACTTTATAATTTTCTCCTTTTTCTAAAACAGAATTTTTAAAAGAAGTGGGTCTGAAATTGGTTACAATAGGATTCTAATATATTTTCTTTTTCTCTCAGTATTTATTGCAAATAATTAATTCTGTTAAAATCAACGATTGTGTCTATTTTTAAAAATCGGAAGATCTTGGAAAGGAGTGAATACAAAGATGATTGCATCAGGTATTGGTTCAGAATTTTATATTGTTCTACTTGCAAGACACTTGCAGATGAATGTCTAAAGCCACCTACAGCGTGGTAATTTATTACCTAATTTATTGCTTGATTTTTCCAACTTACTCGATTCATTGCCTAGGTTCTTGAAAGTTTTCCAAGAAGACGAATAAAACTAGGTAGACCATGAGATCAATGATACATTATTTTCCTTAAATTTTAGCAGAAATTTCATCTCACTCGATGAACTCACACCCCATCTCATTTAAAAAAACCTTAAATGTACCTCTACCCCATAAACTTGCATCGAATCTACAAAATTCATACCGATCCATGCTAACAAGCATAATTTCCTTCATCATCTGCCAATTTGTTCACTGAAAATAGGTTCAGAATTTCGTACGTCTGCTGTCAATCTTTCTACCACGTATCTCCCAAGATGAATATAATTTTGCACATACAACTATACTATTATCAACTATGCTATCTATTTTTCAATGACAACGTATCACGGGAAGATAACCGATAGAAAGATTAATTTATTATATTTTAAAAGTCGTCACGTTTTCAGAAAATCTCAATAGTTGGCTCGGCGAATGTCAATTTAAACAGGGTACAAGGTGATGGAAGACTCACCTTTAATTTGCGCCTTGCGTTGAATTTCTTCAAACAATCCACAGTCTCTTGTCTGTGGACGACGGACGCGACACGTTCACGTTGCTGTAACACGGAAAGAAAAGGAAGAAAATTGACGTTGGTTGCTGAAGATGTTCCCGAGTGATGGATGGACGTTTCACGAGGCTGCTTTTACTTACGCAGATCCATGGGTGCTTCAGTGCCTCGCTGGCGGTGATCCTTTTGCTCGGGTTCACCGTCAGCATCTGATTGATTAGGTTCTTGGCTTCCGGCGTGACGGTGTCCCATTCTGGGCTCGGGTACTGCGGAAAGCAAACCAGACGAATAATTTGTTAACGGTTTCTAAAGTTCACGAACTTGGTAAACGTTATTGGTGACTTGGAAATGTTAGAATAAGGGGAAACGGAGGAAAGAAATTTCATTTAAAGTTTACGATCTTGGTAAACGTTAATGATAGTTGTAAAATGTTAGGGTAAGGGAAAAGGGATGAAAGAAATTTTATTTAAAGTTTAGAATCTTGGTAAATATTAATGGTAGCTGTGAAATGTTAGGATAAGAGGAAATGGACGAAAGAAATTTTATTTAAAGTTTAGAATATTGATAATTATTATTGGTGACTGTAAAATGTTACAATAAAGGAAAATGGACGAAAGAAATTTTATTTAAAGTTTAAAATATTGGTAAACATTATTGGTAATTGTGGAAATGGTGAAAAGAAATTTTATTTAAAGTTTAGAATCTTGGTAAATATTAATGGTAGCTGTGAAATGTTAGGATAAGAGAAAATGGACGAAAGAAATTTTATTTAAAGTTTAGAATATTGATAATTATTATTGGTGACTGTAAAATGTTATAATAAAGGAAAACGGACGAAAGAAATTTTATTTAAATTTTAGAATATTGGTAGTCATTAATGGCAGCTATAAAATGTTAGAATAAGGGAAAATGGACGAAGGAAATTTTATTTAAAGTTTAGAATATTGGTAAACATTATTGGTAATTGTGGAAATGGTGGAAAGAAATTTTACTTAAAGTTTAGAATCTTGGTAATCATTATTGGTGGCTAGGAAATGTTAGAATAAGGGAAAATGGACGAAAGAAATTTCATTTAAAGTTTACAATCTTGGTAAACATTAATGGTAACTTATAAAATGTTAGAACAAGGGAAAATGAACGAAAGAAATTTTATTTAAAGTTTAGAATGCTGGTAATCATTATTGGTGACTGTGAAGTATTAGACTAAGGGAAAATGGACGAAAGAAATTTCCAAATTGGGTTCGACCGAAGAAATTTCTAAAATTTTTAGTTTAAGTGACGTTTTTAAGAAATAAATCATAGTTAATCCTCGAAATGCGGATGAATTTAGGTTAACACAGACGAATGCAGAGCCATTTTGACTCGCGATGTAAAATTTCTGTGATCCGTGAATTTTATAGAAATGAATATAAACGTGCATATTTTTCTATATATTTTACAATTTTCTTGTTTATTCACACTTGAAACATAAAACTCTTGTGTAATTCTAACAAATAAATTCATCGCAAATTTGACATCTTACAATGGTCTTTGTATTATTGCCAACATAAATGTAACATCATGATCATCTTCGAGATACCCTGGTACAATTTGATTTTCCGAATTCAAACACGTTTACAACATTATTTATTTGCTATATTGATATGTTATTTATAATCAGTATCACGCGTTTCTCATTGTGCTTTTCAAACTTTTTGTACCGATTTTATCCCAGTTTTGTCAAAACGACACAGCATTCGTCATACGGCAGTTAATTTCCCAACAATATCCCCTATGATCAATTTAAACGAAGAGAAATAAGTCTGGCTGGAGGTAAAACGCCAGCTCTGTAATCCGAAAAACAATTCACCGATCGACTGAAAAATTGAAAAAGCAATCAAGAGCTTTCGAGCACGATGGATCGACCATGCGATTTAGAATTTTTTTTTAAATTCTTCAAAAGGATTCAGGGTCCCCATAAAAATTAAAAACCGAACAAAGGAGTCAATCGATGGACTACGTGATTCAGAAATTTTTTAAAATCCTTCAGGACTGTTCAGGGTTCCCATAAAAATTGGAAACATAGCGAAGAAGTCAATCGATGGACTACGTGGCTCAGAAATTTTTTACAATTTTCCAGGACTGCTCAGAGTTTCCATAAAAATTAAAAATTGAATAAAGGAGTCGATCGATCGACCACATAACTTAGAAATTTTTTAAAAATTCTCCAAAGGAATTCAGGGTTCCCATAAAAATTGGAAAGCGAATAAGGAAGTCGATCGATCGACCACTCGACTCAGAAATTTTTTAATATTCTCCAGGAGGGTTCAGAGTCGTCATAAAAATTGGAAACATAGCGAAGAAGTCAATCGATGGACTACGTGGCTCAGAAATTTTTTAAAATTCTTCAAGACTGTTCAAGATTTCCATAAAAATTAAAAATTGAATAAGGAAGTCGATCGATCGACCACGTAACTCAGAAATTTTTTAAAAATTCTCCAGGAGGGTTCAGAGTCGTCATAAAAATTGGAAACATAGCGAAGAAGTCAATCGATGGACTACGTGGCTCAGAAATTTTTTAAAATTCTTCAGGACTGTTCAAGATTTCCATAAAAATTAAGAATTGAATAAAGAAGTCGATCGATCGACCGCGTAACTCAGAATTTTTTTAAAAATTCTCCAAAGGAATTCAGGGTTCCCATAAAAATTGGAAAACGAGTAAAGTAGTCGATCGATCCAGATAGGTTTCACGAGAAATCGAGTCGGAATTGGCATAAGCAGATCTTACGTCGTACGATCCGGCCTTGATCTGCGCGTACAGTCGGTGCTGATCCTCGTCCCAAAATGGCGGATAACCGACCAGGAGGATGTAAAGAATGACACCGCACGCCCAGATGTCGACTGGCTTGCCGTATGGTTCTTTCTTGAGGACTTCCGGGCTGAGGTAACCGGGCGTCCCGGCGAAACCTTTACATGGATTATTTCCAGTTACTCTTTGCACAAATATCGTCTATATTTTGCATTCTAATATTCCACCAAGCATTTAACATTCCTATCCTTCAATACCCTTATATCAAAAAAATTAAAAGATATTACTGTACTATTAATTAATCATAAATTTGAAGCCCTTCAATTTTCATTCGAAAGATTAATTTTGATCGACAGCTAGAAATATGAAAACACGAGATGCTGGATGCTTTAAGCTCGCGAAGAAAGAAAGGGAAAAATTTGGAAGCAAAAGTCTCATTAATATCATATCCATATTTGATATTAAAATAGTAGAAATAAGAATAAAAGAGTTGAAAATTTCATAAACTTAGATTTAAATAGCAACGAAACTTAAATTTGAGATCTCCGAATTTTTATTCGAGAGAGGAGAACGAAACGTGAAATGCTTTCGAACGAGGACGAAAAAGGGAAAATTTCGGAAGGGAAGTAGATTGTCGGTGATTTCTCGATTAGAATTCTGGAGGAAATGGAAGTTAATCTAGCCACGGTCTTCGAACACCTCTCGACCACTGTCACGTCTCTGTACTCCCGAGTTTTGAATTTCGCGCGTTCGGAGTGGCGGAAACCACGGCCTCGAGGAAGTCACAACGGAGTTTCGAGCTATCGGCTTTTCGAGAACGGAAACGAACGTCGGCAGGTTTGAAATCGACCGTTCGACAGACAGTGGTAGATGAAAAGCGACGAACGTTGTTCCGCAGCTTCCGGCCATCAAAATCATTTTGGCCTGTTGATACCATTTTTACGATCGCGAATATACTTGTCTCTATCGTTTCTTTCCATACGAGTGTCGGTTTAGAGTCTACCTGTTGAACACTTGCGAGAATATTTTCGAGAATTGCCTATGAATACAATTCAAATAAAATTAGATGGAAGTATAGGGTATACCAAAATTTGCGCAAGAAGAAATTTTTACAGAAAGCACAGGCTTGACAGAAAGAACATTTTTCTTTATTGGCAACACTTTGCCACACAAATGGCACAAAATTTGAATCTTTTCGAAAAAAAAATTTCTGTATAAAATACTAAACAGTATCACTGTCAAAATATTTCTAAATAAAATACTAAACAGTATTACTGTCAAAATATTTCTAAATAAAATACGAAACGGTACCGGTATCAAAAAATTTCTAAATAAAATACTAAACAGTATTACTGTCAAAATATTTCTAAATAAAATACGAAACGGTACCGGTATCAACATTTTTCTGTATAAAATATTAAACAGTATCACTGTCAAAATATTTCTAAATAAAATACTAAACAGTATTACTGTTAAAATATTTCTAAATAAAATACTAAACAGTATCACTGTCAAAAAATTTCTAAATAAAATACTAAACAGTATTACTGTCAAAATATTTCTAAATAAAATACTAAACAGTATCACTGTCAAAAAATTTCTAAATAAAATACTAAACAGTATTACTGTCAAAATATTTCTAAATAAAATACTAAACAGTATCACTGTCAAAAAATTTCTAAATAAAATACTAAACAGTATCACTGTCAAAAAATTTCTAAATGAAATACTAAACAGTATTACTGTCAAAATATTTCTAAATAAAATACTAAACAGTATCACATTCAAAAAATTTCTAAATAAAATACTAAACAGTATTACTGTCAAAATATTTCTAAATAAAATACGAAACGGTACCGGTATCAAAAAATTTCTGTATGAAATACTAAATAGTATCACTGTCAAAATATTTCTAAATAAAATACTAAACAATAATACTAAACTGTGAAAAAATGTCTAAATAAAATACGGAACGTCTCTCGCGAAATGACTGCACGCAGTCTTAGGGGATGAAACGCACGACGGAGATGTCAGCAAGAGCGTCGGGAAGAAAAACAAAAACGTCACAGGGGCCTAATAAAATCGTGTTTCTCTATCGAGAAGCGAGAAAGCAGGATGAGGAGAAAGCGGTGAAAGAAGAAAAGATGGATGGACTCACCGAACCATGCGGGTGCTTCGCCCTGCACCTCGATCGCCAATCCAAAGTCCGCTAATTTCACAGCCGCGCCCTTCGCCTTACTTGCGAGGAGTAAATTTTCGGGCTGCAACAGGAAGCAGACTCGTCGACATTCCTGTTCACTCTTCGCACAAACCGTTGCCGTCGTCCTGCATTTTTACGCGGCCATGCTGTAGGTTGATCCACCAACAGGAGATATATACGTGCATGCTTGACACACATTGCGCGTCTACCTTCTACGCTGCGCTGCTTTCCCCTCTCTTTTCCTTCTCTCTTTTCCTTTTTTACTTTTTTACTTTTTTTTTTCTTTTTTTTAATCCTCTCCCTCTCTTTCGGTCTCCACGAAGCGCCACTTTTCGTGCGGCCTCCGCAGTGCTCCCTTCCTACGTATTTTTTCCGTCAACCTGCCTTCCTCTAGTCGAATTAATTTCCTCTCCTTTTGTCCTTCGCGACTACCTAATTTCACCCTAGCCGAAAATTCCCGCGGCATTCGACCACTCGAATGGCAATTCAACGCGGAATTCCAAGTTTCAAATTGGAAATTCAGATTCGAAAGAGAAGAAAGCGAGTGAAAAATGAGAAAGAAAATTCATTCCGGATTCTATACCCCGTTCCTTTAAATCCTGCAGACCCTGTTTTAACGTGTTTTACCTTCTCCCTTTAATCGTCTCTACCTTTTCTCTTTTCTTTTTTTCTTTTTTTATCATGAAATCCCGTGTTCCATCGACTACAGAGCCCTAACCGTTTATCTGAAAATGTTCGGTTAAACACACTGAACCTTTGAGTTCCCGGTGTACTGGACCCTTTCAAGCATGGCACTAGTTCGTCCGTAACATTCGTTTCTCTACGTACTTTCAGGTCCCTGTGCACAACTCCATTGTAGTGGCAGTGGTGTACGCTTTCCAGGATTTGTTGGATACAGTGCGACGCGTCCGCTTCGCTGTAGAACTCTCGCGCCACGATATCCTCGAACAGTTCGCCGCCAGTCACTCTGAAAATCAGACATCAGACCTCTGCGAATCTCGGTTTCCGAGGGCTCCTCGAGCTCGATGATCTTCGCTCTCGGTGAAGAGGGAACCTCGAGCGAGGCGAATTTTTGGACGATTTTGAAGGAGCGTGGCCCCATTGACGAGGACGAAGAATTTGGGACACTGGGAAACTCGTAAGGTAAACTTCCAGGGAAGAAGGACCTCGCGAGTTGATTATTCCGGGGATCAGGGAATCGCAGAATCGAAAAGTTGAAGAATTATTGGAAATTTTTTTGGAAGTCGAGGAAGTATGGAATTTAAGGATTAGATATGACGAAATGAAATTCAAATTTGGTGATTGGATATTAGAAAATTGGGAAAAATCGGGTTTCAGATTACTTGATTACTTAATTATTAAATTGGACAATTGTATACTCGTATGCAAATATATGTAAATATACAGTGGTGGACAGAAGGAAGCTTAAAATTATCTACAACTTCTATAGTAATTATATTTATGTAAAAAAATTATATTATCTATTTTTTTATAGTAATCATATTTATGTAAAAAAATTATGTTATCTATGTTTTATAGCAATTATATTTATCTAAAAATTATGTGATATTTAAATTTCCTGTTCTTCGCCATTGTATATAAATTATATATTTGTATCACTGTGACAATATACTAGTTGTACATAGTTGAATATATATATATTCTCACAATAGTAATATAGCAGTAACACAATTTTTCAAAAGTGATACTATAAAATATTATTAAATATTATAAAATATAATATTAAAATATTATAAAAGTATTATTAAATACCCCGATAATATATATACGTATATTATATATATACCTATATATTCTCACAATAGTAATATATGAGTGACACAATTTTACAAAAGTGATACTATAAAATATTATTAAATACTTGGAGTTTCAGATTAATTAAATCTCGGACGAAGGAAATCTCGGAATTTCTGGGAAAAGTAGCTACAGTGATAATATTTGTGGCAAATATTATAAAAGTCCAGTGAATCTTAAACGAGCCCCGTATCGATCGAGCTGGCAATTAAATACCCTGTCGTGATACTTTTCACCGCTGAACATCGATACCTCGCGACCATGCGAGCTCATTAATATGCAAATCGAGGCTGATTTAAATTCACGAGAGCAGGCGGTTGGAATAATTAGTCGGTGACTGGAACAAATTAACAATTACCGGGCCAAGTCGCGAGAAAGGGGGAAAGAATGGCGGAAGATGTAGACGTTGGCGTAAGTTTCCACTACTGAATCCGTAATTACGGATTCCGCGAATAAAACGTCCAGTCACCGTGCACGTTCGCGAATGAAGCTGTTCCCTTCGAAATCATTAATCATCGATGGCGAAACTTTAAATCCGAAAAGACAAATGATTCCCGAAGCATGAAATATCTTCCACGGACTCGAGCAGGGAACATTAGTTACGACGTTCCCCTCTTTCTCGTGTCATGCAATCCCTGGCAGAAAGTTTTTAATGAAACGCAATAACGCGAAATCGATTAAACGAGACGGGAAACGCAAAATGCTATTGTACCTTCGTGTAAAAGTAAAATTGGAAAACTTTATGCCGGATTGAAAAGTCTGGTGTTATGGGGTGGTATTGGAGGGGTGTCGTGGGTATTTAAGAAATCAAGGCACTATTTCGCGTTAACCCTTTGCGGACGAACGTCGCATATATGTCGGTGATGACAACTGATAGGGCCGAGGGACTCATAAATGCGTCCCACGTAAACGCGATGCTATGGCCCTAGGACCGTAAGTCCCAAGTTAAATGGTGAACTGTTTTATGTCCTTATTGCCAGCTATGAGCGAAAATCGCGTTTAACACGTGAAGTGCACAGTCCTTTTTGTTTGCTGTTCCGTTCAGGCCCAGACTCGGCTGTCAAGTGTTCGTGAAACTTGGAAATACTGTACCAATTGTTATAACAGAAATTCTCAAACGTTAGAATTCCCAATCCAAAGATGGCGAAGAATTTAGTACCAAAAGTTAGTACCTTTTATAAATACCTTCCTAGTCTGGACCGGGCCCAAACGGAAAGCCTAGCGGCGGTCCCTGGGGACCTAACGTGTTAAGTAGAAATGAGCGTTGGCAGTTTTGAATGACTATCGTGGCAGCGGCTGGGCCCCAGTTGAACCACCCTGGGTGGTTTACTCAAAACCACTCCGTCCGCAAAGGGTTAATGAAAGGGCCCCAGTCAAGTGGGCCCTGGTGCAGAAGACACGGTGCCTCGTCTTGGAAAAGCTCTATCCTATGGTCTAATCACAAACGAACTGTTTTTCTCAGAAGCTAGTTTGTAAGCTTACTTACAGGTCAAATACGAGGTAATGGTGGTTCTCCTCCTGTATGCTGTCGTGTAATCTCACTGAAACAGAAAGGAAAAACATGGGAAATTAATTTCTTTTTCTGTCTTAAGTAATGAAAATTGGTTTTTAAAGATATGCGTAATCAAAGTCAGTTTTGTATGTTAATAATTCGGCACGAGTAGGCAAAATGAGATATGAGAGGATGTTCGGGTTTCTGTGACCGCGAACACTTATGATGTTGAGATTAAATATAGAAAGACAGGAAGAGCGAGGAGGAAAACAGTAAGGTGATAAATACAGGAAGATATTTAACGAGTATGAGATATGGAAATAGGAAGGAGAGAGGTAGGAACAGGAAGAGAGAAAGAGAACCGAGAATATTTTGAGGTTAGGAGACGCTAATTGTAAGATAAAGAATGGTGAGCCAATATTTGTCACTCATACTATAGTATCTCATCGTTAAATATCAGGGACGTGTCAAGAACTGGATAGACCCCGATTAAAAGATTTATAAAAATTATTTTCAATTATCGTATTATTAAATATTAATAAATATTTGCTCTCGAGTGGCGACCCCTAGTCGCCATTTAATCAGATTCTAAAGATCGATGTTAATTAATGTATTAAATTTAAAATTACCCCAAAATACGTGGAATATCGAAGTAAATTAATTTTACATCTTAATTTGTCGACTTTATGGCATAAATTCTTCGAATTACTATTTTTCTGTAATGAGTGCAAAGGGTAATATAATATAGCAATATAGTAATATAGTAATAATAATAATAAAGTAATACAAAATGAAAATACTCGTGTTTAAACTATGCAAATTAATTTTTCCTGTTAATTTTCAATCGATGACATATTTTTCTACTATAGTACCCTGTATAATATAATACAGTATTATATTTATTATTTATTATTTTTTACGCCACAATAATCCAAGAATAAAAATATGTTAATAAAATTAACGTCGTTTATCTTCACTATGAACACATCTATCTGATATTTATACGGAACGAATTTTGCGCCACCTTTTGATGCTTAGACCAATTTTCTATGTATCAATTGCATCTCGAGACCCAACTGAAGTCTCACAGAGCCATAGAGGAACAGCATTTGCCTAATATAATGCAACGAAACGGTATCTCCGACGACACTGGCAAAACGTGATCCTTCAAACACCAAAGCAGAAACAACCGCCTTACGCTCAAGTAGATAAAACGGGTAAAAAGAGAAACATTTCCCGCTGCACCGTGGTTCCGCCATTAAAAGCTGGAAACACAGTTTCGCCGCACAAAAGGACAGACTTTAATACAGAGGGACGATAATCTCGGCTTTCGCGTTTCCCCGATTCCGCGATATTTCCACGGAACTTCTTCCTCGACTGTTTGCGAAACAAGCGGCGAATTTTGGGGAAGATAAAGAAGATTCGGGCGAGAGGAGCGGAAACAGCGACCTGTCGCGATCCATGTGGTGCAAATAGTTTGGGTTCCGTCCATTGAGATGAAAATGACGTCGGAAAGTTGAAGTTGGCTATATCCGGTTGCACAGTACGGTAAATTGAAGTAAATTGCGATGAAGTTGAGAGGCCCATTCCGATGACACGTTCGTTGCCGCGTCACCCATATCTGGATAATGAGTATGCTTCCATGGGGGTCGCGTCACCCAAATATGAATGATTTTTAAAAGGAATTTAATGGAATAAGCACTGAAATATAAATATAGGATATACACCATAAAAATATTAAAAATATACACATTATACTATATCTTTTTACTAATTTATATTTAGGATAAAATATTACATTATACTATGTCGCATGTTATTCGTTAAAACAGTCTAAACATTTTTGACGTGATTTTGGACAATTGGAAAAATAAGTCGTAATAGCATCAATAGTATCCGTGTCTAAGACAGGGCCTGCTAGAAAACCTTATTGATGAGTCCACACTAGTAGGCCCAGGACGAAACGCGCACCCTTCCCTTTCCTTACGCCCCTTCTAGTATCACCATCACCGACATTCAACAATCGTGGGGGTGGACCTCTACTGGACTATATATGTTCACCTGATAAGTTGAATAGACACCCAAGTCCACCTGGGACTCAGTTCACTGAGTACTCAACTCCAGAAGAGTGAGTGACTATGCAACTGTTGAGACCTATATATCCAATTATTATTTATCCAATTTAACGAGAAGTGACGTATTTCAGCGGCTTCTGAGAAGGGCTACCCAATGATGCATAAGCATTAATCCCTTCTCTGCAGAGATCTGGATAACACGTCTGTCCTGATCACGCGTGGCTCGTGTGAAGTTTATTGCAGTTTCCTGCAAATTCTCGTTGAACCGAATATAGTCAGACAATAAGTATCCCAAGAGAAAATCTCCTTACGACTGACAATGGGTCATATGGGCCCTATTTCTCTATACGATTGTACCTAGTAACGTTTAATTAGGCAGTGAGGATCTTCGCACCCGACATCTTCAGGTTGTAGGCTAATCAGCAGATACTGCAAGAGCCACACATCACATCTGAGACGCTTCATGTACGCGACAATTGCCGCGATCCACTACACCCCTGGCCCGAAAAGCTCGCAGAACCGGGGACAGTTGAAGACGCGGAAGGAAAATCGTCGCGATATCTCGCAAACGACTCTCACGGTCGTTGAACAAATGGCGACAGCACGCTCGCGACGCGTCGCATAGAAACGGCCGCCATTATGGTGCTCGGATTTTCGCCGGCTAACCGTGCCATGGGGCCCAATTAGCCTACCGTCCCTGCTTTACTCCTCGTTTCCTAACCCTTTTTCTTTCTTTTTACCCGACCGCCTTTCACCTTCCTTTCTATACTTTCTGTCGGCAATTTCACCGTTTCACCTGCCCCCTCCAGTTTTGGGGGTGCCGTCGGACGCTCCTGTGAAAACGAGGAGGGAGAAACGTTTGTGGTACGTGGCAATTAGGAGCTGTGGATGAATGTGAAAATAAAGGTTTCGATGATGGGATAGTGAGATGGTGTTTTAGGTAACGGACAGGGTATCGAGGAATTAATTCGACTAGGAAATGCAGGTTAGGTTCGAACAATATGGAGAAAATACGGTGGGGGGTGAAATCGGGTTTTGTGGGTGGTAAGAGTGGGTTGTTGAAGATATTGCAACTATTATTGTGTAGAAAGAGAGGGTTTGGATTAGGGGTTAATTTTGTGACCAGTTGATGATGAGGAGAGTGCTGTTCATGGACGCCATTGATCGATCATTTGAAGATTTTTACCTATTTCCCTAGATTTTGTAACTATCACTGTCATCAACCACTTTTCTCTTCCTCTCTTTTCCAAAAATTTTGTTCCACTGAAAAAATATATATATATGCAGTCGACTCCCTTTTAATTGGTCTGTGTGAAGGCAATATTCATCAATGTTCATCATTTATAGACTGTTATTCGAAAAGAAAATTAATAAAAGGAAGATTATTCGAGCAACGACGAAAGTATTGAATTTCCACAATATTTATTAAATTTTTAATTGATATTCCATGCTTCCTTTGTATAACCTGATCTCGTGTCTGATATTTAGCATTGACTTTTAATATTTGAAATAACATTTCCCATATCTAACTTGAAATTGAAATATGCACTCGAGGAGACAGAAATTGCACTTCTGTTTTTTACTGAAAAATTAACTCAAGTTGGAAAATTTTTCAAAATATTTCTTCGTTGATCTATAAAAATTTATCGTTCCACTTGTTCGATCAAGAATCACTAAACTGTACTTATTAATTTATTTTACTAATTTCTTATACATGTAATTGGATATTCCATTCGTGATATACCGGGTGTTCTCGAATTTTGCAATCATTTGAGAGCAAATTTCGCGTAATACCATAAATTCCGCGATTTTTCAGTCACATTCCCCAGATCTAACTTGAGATTGAAATATGCACTCGAGGAGACAGAAATTTCACTTCTGTTTTTTACTGAAAAATACTCAAGTTGAAAAATTTTTCAAAATATTTCTTCGTTGATCTATAAAAATTTATCGTTCCACTCGTTTCATCAAGAATCACTAAACTGTACTTATTACTTTATTTGACTAATTTCTTATACATATAATTGGATATTCTATTCGTGATATACCGGATGTTCTCGAATTTTGCAATCATTTGCGAGCAAATTTCGCATAATACCATAAATTCCGCGATTTTTCAGTCACATTCCCCAGATCTAACTTGAGATTGAAATATGCACTCGAGGAGACAGAAATTTCACTTCTGTTTTTTACTGAAAAGTAAACTCAAGTTGGAAAATTTTTCAAAATATTTCTTCGTTGATCTATAAAAATTTATCGTTCCGCTTGTTCGATCAAGAATCACTAAACTGTACTTATTAATTTATTTGACTAATTTCTTATACATGTAATTGGATATTCCATTCGTGATATACCGGGTGTTCTCGAATTTTCCAATCATTTGCGAGCAAATTTCGCGTAATACCATAAATTCCGCGATTTTTCAGTCACATTCCCCAGATCTAACTTGAGATTGAAATATGCACTCGAGGAGACAGAAATTGCACTTCTGTTTTTTACTGAAAAATAAACTCAAGTTGGAAAATTTTTCAAAATATTTCTTCGTTGATCTATAAAAATTTATCGTTCCACTTGTTCGATCAAGAATCACTAAACTGTACTTATTAATTTATTTTACTAATTTCTTATACATGTAATTGGATATTCCATTCGTGATATACCGGGTGTTCTCGAATTTTCCAGTCATTTCCGAGCGAATTTCGCGTAATACCATAAATTCTGCGATTTTTCAACCACCTTAGAGCGAATATCGCATAATCCCGAGAATTTCGCTATTTCTTAACCGCGAAAACGCGTTACAGTACCTGTAAACCGGTTTGTCGAAACGCGAACTGTCGAGGATCGATACGCGCGTGCACGCTCGAGTATCATTTGCATCCACGACAGTTTGCTCGATCACGACGTTCATTAGGGTCAACGAAGAGGCATTCCTCGTGATACTAACCAATGGTCCCCGTCGAATCGGCCTTAATTG